TTATACTGCTGGCTCCTCCTGGCTCTGGCTGTCAGACACTTGTAGAGCCCGGAGGGGCGAGTGACCGCGTTCTTGCTGTGCGAGGCTCTCTGTAGGTGCAGAGGATGTGCGTGCGCCTGGGGTGCAGCAGAGTGCATCAGCAATCTGGAAGCAAATTCGGCAGGGGAAACAAAATGCAGTTCAGCTTTTACAGGCAGGTGTGTTCTGAGTGTCCCTGGCTCGCATTTCACCGCTGGCAATCGGTCCTCTTCAAATGCTCGCAGAATCCTTTGTCGTGATGGAGCCCAGGTTGCTTCCGCTGTAGGAACCAGCACCAAGGCTGATGAGGAGTTCCTAGCTGATGGATCCCCCTTGGGCAGGGGGCCAGAGATTAGGAGTGGAGAGCATCTCCTCTGCTATCTTGAAGACAGACCTACTCGGTAGCTCTGGCTCTTGGTGTATTTTGTACTGATTAGGGCTGTGGGCTACAGCATGAGCCCTGCCTTGTGGGATTTGGAGGCTGGAGGACCCAAGGGAAGCTTCTCTTGCAAAGTCATCTTAGAGAGGGAGAGGCAGGGGACCACTGATGTGGAGTGGTTTTTGCTTTTTCTGAAGCTTGGCTACTGGGCGTGATGGACCATGAATCACATAGGATGCGAGTGGCTTGTGGCCTCAGCTCCCCCCTGTATCAATTCAGTATCTAGCAAACTATCTCTGGGGGCCGTATCCTGCCAGTGGACCAGGCACTGTGGTGTCATGAGCTGGCCTTCCCAAGGGGCCGGGGTGGAGCTGCACCCGTGGCAGTCTTGGCTCACTTGTCGCTTGTGGCGAAGAGGAGTGAAAAGGGTGACGAGGACTAAGAGCTGGCATGCTGGAAAGAGAAGAGCAACCTGGGGCTTGGTAAGGGGGACTGCGGGAAAAGGAGTTTGTGCTCTGTAATGAGGTGAGCAGCTTGGAGGGCTGGGAGCAAGGGACAAGGACTGCAGAAGAGGATGAGGAACCTTTAGCATAAGGGGGTGGGAAGCAGCGAGTCTGTGTGTACAAGGTTTCCAGCAAATCCATAATGGGGAGCGGGTGTGGATTCTTCCTCAGCTGCCTTGTTGTGAGGGTGCGCTGTGCGGCTCCTGTTAACACGGGGAGGGTGTTGGGTTAGGTCCCAGGAGGGCTAGGAGCTGCTTGGGGGTGGACTGGTAGAGCACAGGTCTTCAAAGGGAGGGCTTAGCCCTTGCAGGAGTCCAGGGTGGGAGATGAGATTCGTTTCTGTCTGGACTGGATGGAGCCGCAGCGGGGCTGGGGCAGTACTTCCAGGTGTCTACAGTGGGCAGTCTGCTGCTGCCCACTGCTCCACGTGCAGTCATGCTTTGGGACCTACCGAATTTGTGGCGGAAGTGGGGTGCGCTATAGCTCCTTTAATCTTGCAGGTTCCCCTGCACCCTTCCCCACCCCAGTTGACTGACGGAGGGGCCCCGCTTGCGGCTCGCTCCTGATCAGCAGGGAGGTGAAAACTGGGGTTTTAAATATAGTGCCGTTTTTGCCTCTCACCACTGATTGGCTGAGGACGGTCCTGCTGTTTGCTGCTGGCTGGCGGGGAGGCAAAAATGGGACCGTGTTTAAAAACCACAGTTTTAGCTTCCCTGCTGATCAGGAGGGAGCGGCGGGGTCCTCCGCTAATCAGCAGCAAAGGGGGTAGGGGAACAAGGGGCAAGGTGCTTGCGGGAGAACATGCACAATTAAAGGAGCCACCGTGCACTCTACTTCCACTGTGAATTCGGTAGGTCCCCAGTCATGAGAGGAGGAGGGGTCCCTGGTCACGTCTGCAGATGAAGGCGGGTAAGCCTTGTGTTCATGCCCTGGAGGAGTCTGGGCGCACCTGGCATGGAAACTTATGGGAAACCGAGGCTGCGGTGGGCAGTTCCAGGTGCTGGCACAGTTCTTCCATGGAGCGGGCACCCATAGCACATGCTGCACAGAGCGAGCGGCTGGTGTGGCCAAGAGTGGCTCATTTCTCTCTTTTCCTTTTCACCTCCATCCTCTCTTGGGCCTGGTCCTCTCCCCTCTACGCAGTCTCGCCTGCCTCATGGGTTTGTTTCTCATTAAAGCCTTTGCTCAGACGCTTGTCTCCTCTCGGTCCCTGTGGGGTAATCGGTTCCACATGGGCCGTGCGTGTTCAGGCGAAGCGCTGCCCGGGAGCTTGCACTCTCTGGTTCTGCCAGGCTGCTTGTCCTTAGGTTGAAGCCATCTGCTTGGCATTTCCTCTGCGCGGGAGCGAGCCGTACGTTTGGGTGGCCCCGGCATGGCCCAGAGAGTGGAGAGCAGCTCCCCTGGCCCGTTGCTGTGGATGAGTTTTGCTAGGCAGGGATTTGGGGGAAGCAGGGCTGAGATCTGGGCCAAGCTGATCTGAAAGGGCCCCCCAGCACTGATCCCTGTGAACTCTCCTGGGCTTTTTGGGGTGGATGTCAGCGGGTGCAGCCATTTCAGCTTTCCTTCTCAAACCCACCCCACAGCATGCGGCAGCATAGGACAGTGGCCTGCTCGGTCCTTCTTCCTTTCCCTTCCCGGCCCCGCTCCTGCTCCAGACCTCAGCGCTGGCACTGCTTAGACCCAGCCCCTTGATACGTGGCTGTTACTCCATGCTTCACCTCCCCCATGTTGGCCCAGCCGTCCCTGCACCCGACGACTACCAGGATTCCCCCATTTCAAGTCTTCCCTGTGTGAAAGCAGGCTGGAAAATGGATACAGGTTCTACACAAGGGTGGGCTGAACTGTGGCCCCTTTCTTCCAGGTCCCCGCCATCCCCTGTGTTGGGCTTCCATCGTCCAAGAACATCCTGACTCAGAGCTGCCTCTCCAAATCCTCTAGTACTGGGCCTCAGCTTGCCAAAATACCACCCTACTCATCACTGTGCCACATCCACTCCCAGTTGTTTCCTGGTCTTGACCTCGCTGTTGCCCTAGCCTTCCCAGACCTATACCCCAAGTATCCTACATATGGTTTCAGCATCCCTAGCACCCCCTGCTCTTGGCTGGAGCATCCCTGGAGCATGCTGTTTCATGCTTCCTCTCACCAGGGATTAATATCTCTAGTGCTGCCTCTTTCATGCCCACCCCCAGGCTGAGATCCCTGTAGCCACCCCCCCAGGTTGAACCTGTTCTTCCCCTGTCTTGTGCCCTTCCCAGTATGAGCCAGCCCTTGCCTTCCTGCTAGCTCCTGAAGCCTCTTCTGTAGGCAGCTCCTTCCTCACACCTCACTTAGCCTCCTATAATGTGTGCGTCCCGCTCTAAACCACCTTATCACACAGGCTGGCTCAGTAAAGCTCTATCATCCTTTTTCCTCCCTGGGGCCCTGCTCCAGGTCTCTCTCTGTTCTGCTGGTGAGGTTCGTTCCAAGCGGGGAGTCTGTTGTGGAGCTATTGGCAGCAAAACAGCTCCAAGATACAGAGCTGATGGTACAAGGGCCAGATTCCCATGTGGTAAGCCAATGAGGACTGGTTGGACATCAGCCTACAGGCATTTGGGAGACTGAATTAGTGTGATACATATGCCAAGGGGCCAGGAGAAGGTATATGTGGGCAGGGACTTTGATGTATGCTTTCTTACCCCCCTCCTCCCTCTGCTGTTTGCTTTTCCTGCCACACTTTTGGCTCCATAGCACCTGACTGTTCCCCCCATGCTGCTTTCACATGAACATTATACTCTGAGACTATTCTGATTTGCAGTGAAAGCAAGATCAGGCCTCTGGTGTACCAAGGCCATGCTTTCTTCAGCTTTGCCCATACCAGGAAAAGTGCAGCAGGATAATTAAACGGACCTGAAATGGATCTAGTTGCCTGCAGCCAATATAATGAAGGCCTGCTTAAATTGGTTTAACCCTTGCTTAAATGGGTTTAGTTTGAGAAATCACCTGGTTAAGCTAAAATGATTTAAGTGCATCTACACTAACAGGCTGCTCAAGTTGAACTGAATTTAAATCAAACCAGTGCAGTTTGTCCTGAACAGACGAGACCTTATTGACTCATTCTTGTAGCTGCTCGTCTCATGGACTCCCATCATTTATACACCCTTAGCATCACTCATACACCTGACTGTGTCCCCTCTGAATTTGATCCTGCTTCCCACTGTGCCGGCCCAAGAACACAGAGTTCACGTGGAACAGTATCAAGGCGTTCACTTGGAGTAAGGAGGCATTTTAAACCATAGACAAATAGGGCTGAAAGGAAACTCAAGAGGCCATCTAGTCCAGCCTCCTGCTCATGGCAAGATCATTGCTGGTTAAACCATTCCAGTCAAGTGTTCATCTCATTTGTTCTTAAAAACTTCCTATAATGGAGGTGACACCATTTTTCTTGGTAATCTATTTAAATACTTAACCGCCATCGCAGTGAGAAATATCCAGCCTAAATTTCCCTTGTAGCCAGTTAAGACCATTGCTCTTCATCCTGTCCCCTGAAGCCAAAAAAGAGAAGAAGCTCTCACCTCTTCTCTAAAGAGTCTCGAGAGCCCTCCTTCGTTTGACGACTGTTATCAAATCCCCCCTTAGTAATCTTTTCTCCAGACTAAATAGTCCCAGTTCTTCTAACCTTTCCCCAGAAGTCGTGTTTCAATAGACCTCTAACCGTAAATACTAATCCACTAAATACTAATTCTCTTTATCACTCTCTCTTTCTCCCCTTCCCTTCCCCCCTGCCAGCCTGGAGCTTGAGAGTCCTGCCAGCCTGAACTCTGTCTAGAATCAAGGTGTGGGAGGAAGTGGAGACAGGGCGCGGCGGGGAAAAGCGGCTATCCCCGGCAGTCCGTTACGGGTTGGTCAGGACCGGGTGACAGTGTGGCTTGACAAAGCAAGCTCAGGCCTTTGTGCTGGACCCATCGGGGTGGGTGAGGAGGAAGAAACCTTTGCAAAACCGAGAGGCAGAGAATGAGAAATCATTGATTTTAAAAAAACCCCAACAAAACAAAACAAGCAAACAAGCACTGAGTTCCTTGCTGGACACTGTTTCTAAACCACTTTTTTATAATGTTAAACAGGGGAGAGGCACCTCCAGCAACACGCTACCTCCCAGACGTTTTCTAATGGTAAATATTTTTTTCTCTCTCTCTATCTCTTCAAAGGCGTCTAACCTTAGACCCAGCTCGTTTCGGGATAATAACCAGGCACGGGGTCTGAGCTACCCAACTAACTGCATGCCATGCTTTGCGCTCCGTAGCATGTGGCTGAAGGATCATTAACCATGCGCCATCCCCCAGCAGTGCATACTAACCTCCCACCCCAACTACTGTAGCTTCTGAACCCGCTGCCGCAAGCCTGGCCTTGGATCAGCCCTTGAGCTGTCTCCATTGCTGGGGAGAGAAAAGGAAACGGGGCTCTCCCATGACGAACAGTACTTGCATGGGACGTGCGGCTCCAAAAAGCTCCTTGCTTTGCTTTTGCTTGTAGCCAGTCCTGTTGGCAGAGGACAAAACCAGCTGTCTGATCAAGGAGCAACAGCTGTAGCTCCATTTGTTTCTGTCTCATGGAAGCTTTGCCTGCCTTGGCAACCAGAAGTCTTCTCTCTAGCTTCCAAATAGTGGACTAGACTGGAATTTCGGTATCGTGATGGATATTCAAACTACCATTCCCAGCATGCAATGTGGTCTGTCTCCAGCTGAAACCTCAATGTTGCATTCTGGGAACGGTTGCCTCTGGATCATACCTCCATGTAGAAAACAGGTACAGCTAGGGTTGTAGAAAGTCTTGGATCCTATTTTGATGGCTCCCTTATTTTAAACCTCAATGCAGTCATGTCCCAGCCACTAAGGACATGGGAATTTCAAATGCGATTATGACTTAACATTGTTCAGTTTGTAGGGCACGTGTCCTGGAGTGGGTCGAGCGGGCATAGGTGCCAGGTCCTAGCATGGACAGGATGGTAGTGTGATTCCCTAGCTAACTGAGATGCTATGAACCCACAGTACGGGGGGCAGTGTCTCAGCCTGGAGAAGAAAGGAGTCGGCTTGTGCTAGACCCCCAAAGTCTCTAACCTTCATTGAGCGTCACTGTTACTCATTGAGCTAAAGGCCAGTGATAGCCAAGTCAAAGCATCGCAGTTTCTCTTGCTTTCCCTCATATTCCCGCTGTGCTCTGCTGCATATTCACCTACGGTACTGAGAGCTTATCTTGAAAGAGCCATCCTTGAAGCTGCCTTACCCTCCACACTGGGAACTGTAGCATTTGTGGGCAGTCAGTTTTAAAAATCAGCATTTTTCAGGGAGGGAATGCAAAGCTCCTTGAATCTCTCCTTGAGGTGGCATCTGCAGAGGGTGAGGGACCATCTTCATTCTCTATGGTCCCTGCAGGGGCAGGATAAGAAGAGCTTAGATTTCCACAGGATAGGGCCCACAATGTGTTTTTCCCCTTTGTCCACTCCAGTTGGTCCAGTGACAGATGTTACCACTTTTCTCTTCTGTTTGTGCTTCTGGTTTGAACTCTGAGGAACGCCTTGGCTATACGTGATCCCGTAGAGACGCCGTCTCCCCGCTGCTCCTGTGCGCAGCTCCCTGGGTCATTGAGACAGAACTGCACATCGTTCTCTTCCTCTGGCTCACCTTCCTCCCTATCCTACTTCTCCCCCTACCGTTTGCCTCTGGGATAAGGTTTTTATTGGGGTGCAGTGCTGAGCTGTTAGTAGCTGAACTGCCCCATATTTGCCTGCAAATTTGTTTCCAGACTCCAAGGACCTGCGAGGCTCAGGGTCAAGCAGACAGGTGTTCCCCTAGTGCCTTCTGCACTTGCTGTGACATGGATCATGCACTTGATGGTTTGTCAGCAGGGATTAAGTCATGGCCCTCATCCCCAGTGAAGGCAGTCATAAAGTCAAGCCAGTCCCTGAATTCACCCTAAGGTTTTTCACAGACAAACCTGAGCCCTTTTGTGCAAAAAAAGTGCTCAGGCTCAGTCACCAGCCCTCACATGTGCAGGCTCCCTGCCCATCTGCATTGCCAGCCAGGTTTGGCAGGTGTACAGGCCCAGACCCATTAGCAAATCCTGGGGGCACAGTGGAGGTAGCTGCTTGACAGACTGGCTGAGTCCAACAGGCAAACCAATAAGGAAAGGAATCCATCCTGCTAACTGGTGCAGTGGCAGGTCCTGAGTCTGCTGCCATGGCAGCTTCTCGTTTGGCTTTGGCGGCTCTCATGCTTCTGTATGGATTTGTGCTTACAAGGCCTTGCACGTGACTGCATTGCCTTTCATCTGAAGATGCTTTACAAGGTAGGGAACTCCTTTGCTTCACAGATGGACAGACTGAGGTCTGGGTTAGAACCCTGGGACCCCAGACCTGCCTGAGCTCAGCACCTGCAAATCAGGTGCCCCATCCCATGTCCCTAGGGCCTTTAAAAGTTTGGCCCAGACTTCTAATGTTTTCTCCGTGGTGATGTATTAGATAAGCAGGTGGACTGCAATTGCGGCATAATGGATGTAAGTACACGGACAGCCATCGTTAGGCTCTCCAGTCAGAGCGCTGCAATGAGGACAGGGCATTCCCCCACTGCATTGCCTCCCCACCTCATCTGCATGCCTCTGCAGCACAGTCATCTGCAGTCAAGGCAGACCATGCCCTGTGCAAAGCCCTTCAGCACTGCTCTTGGAAGAGACAGATGGGTCCCTGTGGTGCGTGTGAGGGACTGTTCCTTTCTTGTAGAGCTCGCTGTCTTTTCCACAGTGCCTTCTGGCTTGGGAACCAAGACCCACTACAAGGCCCAGCACACTACCCCAGTCTGGCAATAATGACTCCCATGTGATCATCTCTTTAGATTGCACGGATTCAAGTCCTCCCGCAGTCACAGCATCTCAGCAAGAGGGTTGTACGTACGATGGCAGTTGGCGGTTGTGATCCACAGGCTGATCAGTGAAGTGGCAGGATTGGGTTCCTCTGCAGCTGTTGTCGAGGTGGTTACAGCTGGTCTGTCTCTGACCATCTGCAGGCTCATCTGATCTGGCATTTCTGTCCCAATCCCAACTAGTGGTGGATTTGCACAGACTCCTAGGCTGGACAGGGCAAAAGCAGTAGTGAGAGACACTGGTGCCGCTCCCAACTCAGTTAAGCCGGGGCAAACTGGACTAGTGCAAGTAGCATCTTTGCTGTCGTGCCCAGGCTTGCCGTGGTGCGGGTACATCCAGCAACTGATCCAAAAATCAGGGCCTTGGCTACACGGTAAAGCTTTCCCAGCAAAGCTTTTGCTGGCCTACAGCAGCTGATGCTGTCCTGAAGCTGGAGCCCATACATGCCTGGCTGCCTTCACCAGAGCCACACAGTGTCCTCGCAGCAAGTGGTCCTGTCATCAGCAGACATGATGCGCTGTGGGTGGGGACCCAGGGTTTAGAGCCACCAACTATGTCACTGGAGCATGTCCACTCGGTGGAGTGGGGAGAGCATGGTGTTCGGGGAGGTGGTTTGACTCAGGCGACAGAGAGGCTGGGTTTGGCTGGCTTGCGTCAAATTTGCGTGTGGATGCTTGCAGACCTGTGGCGACAGAAGGAAGCGTCTCTCGACAGAGCTTTGTAGTGTGGGCCAGGCCCTCATTTTTGTCATAATTATTCTATTCCTCCCCAGTCACTTGGCAGAGAATAGTTACTTCTCTCTCAGCTCTGGCAGTATTTTAGTTGTGGTTGGCTTAACTTTTGCACAGTGCCCAAATACATTGTGATGGACTCTCCAGGCATTAATTAAAACAGTCCAGCTTACAAGGGGACAGGCATAAAAAATCCTCAGTTTCCATTTATTTAAGGCAGATGAGAAATCAAGAATGGCTGCATGGACTCTGTGACCATGGACCTCATCCTGCTGTCACACACCCCGGTACAAACCAGGTACATCTCCCCTGAAGTCAGTGGAGTCATCCCTGTATAACCAGGCCCTGGTTTTCTCGTCCTTTGAATGTTCTGCTGCAAGGCTTTAAGCTTTTGATACTGTATGAGCTGAGTTTATAGGCGGCTTTAGAGACTTCTGAATCTAGGAGAGCATAGGCAGACACCAAACACCCCTTGTAAGGGAAGTGCACTGCTGTGTCAGAAAAGGCTGTCAGCCACGTCTTTTAAAGGGATGTGGCAGGGTTTTAAAAACCATGGGTTTCTATACACGTGCTCCGGGATGAATAGCAAAATTTGACTTGGGTTGCCCCCTCATGTTGCTGGCCTGATTTCCTTTCCAAGAGTCTTTGATTTTAAACTGAAATCTTAGCATCATGCACTTAAGGAAAGGTGTGAACCTCTTAAAGCGTTCCCTTCTGAACAAATCCATAACCTGAAAATGGGTTTAGAAACTCCTTCCAGATGAGACATGCAAACCACTTGCAGTCATTAAAGGACTTGCGGCACTTTCAGAGTAGGGGCAGTTACCACGCTCCCCGCTGCCTCAGAGTTTCATTTGGCTACAGCATTTCTCTTTGCTTCCCATCCTAAATTGTTTAACTTTGTTGTTGGGTGCTGTTAAACAGTTGCCACGTCTCACCCCAGAGGTGGCTGCATAATCGTAGCAGGTAAATAATCTACACTTATTGATCACAGTGGCCCCTTGTAGTCTCAAAATCATGAATATTTATCATATAAGTGTTAATTACTGCAGAAAGCAGCTTTTTGCTAAAGAACGGCTCTTAGGATCCCATGCAGGCGGGGTACCAAAGGCGCGTGCTGGTACAGCAGAGTAGCTTGGTGGTCTCCTCTTCTCCTTGCCTGGATACTTGTGAAGATCGCTGTAGCGGGAGTAGGGCTCTGTCCAGAAATAACAAAGGAGAGTGGGATGGAGGTGAAAGGGTAATGTCGGTGTTGGTATTTTCCTTGTTATTTTAACACATAAGGCTCTTTGTGTCTGTTGGTGAGTTGTGCTGATTGCAGCCTGCTCCAGCTGCTGTGTCATGGTCAGGAAGCGAGACAGCGGCTTGGGGTGGGCCACAGCCTTGTCTTCTCCCCCCGCCCTGTGATTCAGCCGTTAGCCAAGTCCCTGCGTGGTTCCATGAGTCATGTTTGCTCACCCGGCGCCTGGAGTACCACATAGCCCTCAGCCACCCAGGGCTAACATCACCGCAGAATAATGGATCCCCTTGCACGCCCTGTCTCCGAAGGGGAGTTCTGCCCGCAGACAACTGTCCCCGCAGGTCTGCAGCCCATCCCTCCCACTCCTGAGACACAGATGCACCAAAGGGGCAGGGACCAACCCAGAGCTATAGTTGGGCCCTGGGTGTCTGAGGAACCCAGGTCTCTCTTTCAAAGGCCATTTGAAAGTCACCAGAGCTTGGGCCCATTTAAAAATGTTACCCCTCACCTACCTAAGGGGAAATGCCCTGGTTGCAATGTCAACCAGCTCTAGCACAAGATTTAGTGAAGCTGAACAAAGCTGCTCTCGGCACTGCTGGAGCCGTTCCTGTTTGAAGCCGAGGCAGGCAGCCCCGATGTGAATTATAGGGTATGGCAGACGTGCACAGCTGCTGCAGGGACCACGTTCTTAGTGGCTGTAAATCAGTGGACTTGCACCAGCTGAGGGGTCTGCCCTCTGGGGTAGAGCGTGGCATTGCAGCTACTTGAGAGCCAGGTCTGGCTGACTAACTCCTGCCCCGGCCTTGCAGCCTGTAGACAGAGAAACAAAGGCAATGTGCTTTTTAAATTGAAGCTGGGGTTCACAAAGGTGCCTACGGACATTGGGTGCTCATGGTTGGATTTTCCAAAGCACCGAGGGAAGCATCACAAGTTCCATCACGGGTTTCTTCAGCAAGACACGTGTGCCTCACTCCCTTACACACTTTTCCAAACTCCCTTCCTGACACCAAATTCCTATAAACTGCTTTGAAAATCCCACCTGGTATCCTTCCAGGCACGACAGTCAGCAGCTGGTTCTGGTAATGCAAAAAGGGACATTGATTTTCATCTTGACAGTGACCCTGTTGAATTCGTACGTATTGATTCTTCTGCCTTTGCCACTAGAACAATGGTTTGACTTCAAACGCCGACAGACCACGAGTTAGCAGTTAATAGTTCCCCCTCCAGACGATTAGCGCTCTGACTCAATACGTCATGTAGGTTTCAGGGATCCCAAAGTATCAGGGAAAAAGCAAACTCCAGGTTGTCTTCCCCTAAGAAAGCATATGAAGTGCCTCAGCATCCCTTCTAAGCCTTTTGAATGTCCCATTTTGTTTATGCTGTTAGAAACCCTTTAGGGTATGGACTGTCACTCTTTATAATGTGCAGCACCTAGCGCTGGGAGGCTTTGATCTCAGCTGGGCATCTAGGAGCTACAGATCAACAGCACTCTCCACTCTGAGCATAAAGGTTATAGGGAGATAAACTAAATACTCGGATATGGGATGAGCCTAAACATCCCTGAGATACCTCCTAGAGAGATAGCAATCTCCTGTCCAGTTGTCTCGCATTTCTTTAGTGGTTGCTCTGTTGTTTTGCTGGATACTAAAGGGCTTTATGGGTGTAGAAACCAATAACCCCTATCCCTCCGCTGACCACCTGAGTCCTGCCGAGCCTCCCTTCAAACAGAAACTCTCGGTGTCCTAATTGCCTCGCCCTGACTGCAGATCCCAACGATGGCTGTTAGTGCACTTGCGTCCACCATCGCAGTTCATATACTTGTTGAATACATCAGACCACTTTCAGTCCAGCCCTGATACCCCTCTCCCACCAGACGTGGCTTGCAGCAGTTTGCCAGCCTCCACCTCTCGCATAGCTGAAAATGGCATGAATTGTCATAAATGTGTGCAGCCAGCGGGAGGGGAGTGCCACTGCCTCGCTGCATCTGTGTAAGGACCCGGCTGGATGCCTAGCTGAAGAAACACGACCTCTGGCATATCATTTTGTGCTTATACTGACCATGAATTTCATAGAAAGGTCCCCTTTTTCTGTTCTTCGGAGCCAGCATAAATAGCAGCAGTGGGACACGCTTAGGATAATTCCAGGTCGCCGTCCCCAAAGTAAACGTTTGCACGTCTCAGTCATTTATACCCCAAGTGGTCCCCGTAAAGAGGGAGAACCTGGAATTCGGCTTTTCCAAGGGATTTTCTTCTAGCCTTTGCTTAATAGGTTCGCTGGAGCCCCAGTGGCTCATCCATCCATGCAGTAAACGTTCTGGAAGGAAAACTTCATGAAACTTCACAAGCAGCTTTGTGCATTTCAAGCTATTGTTCTGTGGTTAGTACCACAAAAAAATGAAGATTGATTTCACATTGATGAAAACGCTTCATTTAAAATCATGCCCTTCCCTGTGTACCAGCAACAGCTGAGTTTGATGATACTGAAATAATTAGCATTAAAAAAAAAAAAAAAGTAATGTGCTCTCCAGCACTGATGCGGCTTGTGTATGTTCATGTTTTGCAAAAAGTCACCCAAGTGGGACAGTGAAACTGGATTCACTTTATAAGCCTAGTCCCACTGCCGATACCAGGGGTTCTCAACTTTTTTGGACTCGAGGCAGCCCTTGCTAGACTTGACGCACCCTCCATAACATTTGTGACTTGAATGGCACCCAGTTTCAACAACCGGATTTATATATTACGGTGCTTACTCCTTGCAGTGGGGGTAGGAGGTTGTCCAGGCAGGGGCAAGCCTGAGCATGGCTTATTTGCTTAGTTTTTCTGGTTATCTCCCAGCATCTTGAGGCACCCTCCAAAAGGTCTGGTGGCACCCAAGCGTATCCTAGGACCCTGATTGAGAATCGCCGGCCTATACCTATGCTAAAACTATATGCCCTGCCACAAAACGTGGTGGCATTCCCGATGGTGGAATCTGTTCCAATCTCAGAAGCAGCCGGCATGCTGGCAAGGAGCTCGCTGGCGCTTTTCACTTCTTGATTCCCCCGCTGGGGGCGCTGACCGTGTGTGGGTTGCAGACACTGCATGGGCAAGATTGTTACATCAACCCCAAAAACCTGATCCCATGACTTTGCAGTTGTCTTCCCTGGGAAACCCATGCCTGCTCACAGGCAGCTTGGTAAAGGCGCATCGAGACAGCGTCCCTGATTGCAAACGGTACTTAAGCCCAGGCTTGTCTCTAAGTGTGATTGCGTCCATTGAGCTAGGTAATCATGATCAAGCTTCTTGCTCAGGGTGGAGAAGAACAGTTTACTCCTGTGGGAAGACTTGAGCTCCTTTGATGCATTCAAGGGGCAGTGGGTGCTAGCTGGAGTTCTCTGCTTGGTGTCTTCCCTTGGCAGCCTAGCCTGCAACCTGAAATCCTGTTCCCATTTTCCTGTGCTTTGTTCTACAGAATTAGTTGCTGCACATGCAGTGGCCTCTCTCTAGCGATTGAGGGTGGCCTGTCATTCCTGGCAGGCCCTGGCCCACTGTCCTTGTATAACAAGTTGGCCTGTCTCGGTAAACTCTGCTTTCCTCCTGTCTTGGGTGGTAAGTGGTGTCACATGGGGTTTAATGTGCTCGCGGGTGCCCCTGCAGCCTGCCTGCTCCCTGCCACGTCTCAGACTCACCCCGATCCATCTCCAAACGTTCCTGAGCAGCTGCTCTGGTTTTTACCTGTGTCACAGCCTGACATGTTTTTTTAATAGAGAAAGTGTCTCCTGATAGAGCAGACAGGGTATTTTAGTCCCCCCTTTCCTGTCTGCCTGGCTTCAGCCAAGATAATGAGATGGTATTAAAGAGCAGCTTCTTTGAAGAAGAGAGGGCTAGACAGGGGTTACAGCAGGGGAGCCTGGAATCGGGACACCTGGGTTCGTTTTCCTGCCTCACCACTGGCGTTTGCCGAGACCTGGGACAAATCACTTGTGCCCTCATTTTACTTGTCTGAAAAACAAGGGCATAAGGCCCGCATACATCATTGGTGTTGGGAGGGTTAGCAAATGCTTTTCAGATGGTCTAAAATCCTCTACTGAAAGACGCTATGGAACTGCAGAGCATTGTTCTGCCGACTGTGCCAAAGTGGGGCTCGAACTCGGAGATTTATGCCTCGCGTACGACCTGCCTTAAAACTGCTATAGCAATATTTTATTTTAATCTAGTAGCTGTTGTCCTCTCGATCCTTAATATTGCTAAAAAGGAAGTCCCCCTTCTGTCAGGCAGACATTAAAAAACAACCTCTGGCAGCAGCTGTTCATTGTTTGTGCAGGGCCGACACCAGCAGGCCCCAAAGTTTTTCTGTCTCCTGCTCCCTCCCTTTGGTGTTCAGCAGCAAACAGTGTGGTGTCAGCATGCATGACACAGGCCACAAAGTATGCAGGGTCTTTCCCAGCCCAGCTCCAACCTCCCTAGGAGAAACTGGGACAAGGAATTGGTGCCTTCCAGCAGGAAAAGGCCCCACTCAGAGATGAAAGATGCCCTCATCTAAGAAGGTTTGACATAATTCAAAGGAAAATGTACAGTAATGCCAAATGTTTGTGAGTATGTGTGGGTGATGGTATCGCTATGGGAGGCTGCAGCTTCTTACCTGAGTGAGGAGAATGGTCTCTTCTTTCTCAGTCCAGATGGGACCAGATGTTCTGTCCTGGGTTTGCTTGCTTTGCTCTTTCATTCATGACATACCAGAGCCACGTGACCAGACTTTTGGAAGTAAGGAGCAGCCACGTACCCAGCTCGAGGTGCCCTCACTGGGCCCAAATCTCATGACTCACCTAGCCCTTCCTGGAAACTGGGGCTCTTTGCAATGTCTCGAACTGGACAGCCAAATCAATGGCAAGCCTTGTCCTTGGTGCCTTGGGCATCCCCTTACACAGGGGCATCAGGAGGTGGGGGCAAAGTCCTCTCAACCAGAGGAGGAGGTGGTGCCATGCTTCGACTGTGCAGCCTTTACAAGCGCGTAGTGCTCATCTCTTTCTTTTACTTCCCCCCCGTGCAGAGACGTGTGCCGTGAACAATGGAGGCTGCGAGAACAAGTGCCAGGATGCAGCCACAGGCGTGCAGTGCAGCTGCCCCATGGGCTTCACTCTCCAGGTCGACCGGAAAACATGCAAAGGCAAGTGGCCAGCAAGGGAGGGCCTGGTGTTTTCAGGGAAGCTAGGGGCTTGGTAGCTCTCCCACTGAGGGATCTCTGCTAAGAGCAATTTGATTTTATACATTATGGGGCAAATTCAGCTCCAGCAACAGTAGCCCATGCTCCCTGTGACTCGGACAGGACGTGCTGCTTATGCCAGACTGGAATCTCCTAAGGAACAGCTCTTTCGTCTCCTCCCCTAGTCACTCCTTATAGCCCCATCTGCCATTGGTAGGCATCTAAATACCTTTGTGGAGCTGACCCCATGGCAGCACCCGCTCTGATAGACCAGTAGGCTCCAACCCGCATTGAGGCCCCTGCCTGGATTGTCTGTTGTGCAACGTGGAAGATGAAAGCCGATTCACCTGCAAAAAGGAAGAAGCTCTGTCCCAGCTGCCATCCCCACGTCCACCTGGGAAGATGTGCCACACAAAGGGGTTGGCAGCCATGATCCCGGAACCTGCCCAGCTCAGTGGGGAATATCAAGGCATGTGCAGGCCTGACCACCTTAGTGTGGGGGAGCTTCAGTCAGGAGTCCATGTGCGGCTGTACGGCAGTGAGAGATCTTCAGGGCACGTCACTGCTTAGTCCCCTGGGGCAGCTTTGGGCACTGTGGTCTATGTGTGTTAACTCCCAGGGAAAGGAAAATCCCACTTCCCAGCCCCCACCCTGACTCAGCCCATCCCTCAGCCCTGTTGTTTCAGTCCCTTCAGAGCCCGTGGTTGTAGCTGCATCATTAAAGCCGCAAGGGTGAGCCCTGTTCCTTGTGAGGAAGGTTCGGCTGTGAAGCAACAGTGCGGCTGGGCAGCTCAAACACTGCACGAGTCTTAGATTCGTAGTTGTTAGGGGCTGGAAGGGACCTTACAAGACCATCAGGTCCAGCTCCCTGCACTTGGCCAGAAAAGACTGCTGGGCTCGGATGACCCCAGCAAGGTGGGCATCAAGACGCTTTTTGAGGATCGGGAGCGTGGGTGACTGTGCCACCTCTGGGGGGGAGTCGGTTCCAGAACCGCAGCACCCGACTTGTAAAGAAGTTTTTCCTTATGTCCAGTCTGACCGGTCTGTCAGTCCGAACCTGGGCTCCTTAGCTGCACTCCGAGCTCTGACAGCAACACCCTGCTGGGCCTGCCTCAGTTTCTGGATTTGTAAAATGAGATTGAAACCTCCCAGCAGAAACTTGAACCAGGCGAGATTTCCTGGTGCATTGTAGGAAAGGATGGTGTTGCGATGAAAGCACAGGACTGGGAGCTAGGAACTCTAGGTTCAGTTTTGATTTCTACTTTAGTCTTCTTGCAAGGCCTTGGGTGGGTCACATCCCTGGTTCAGGAGCCTGCCTTAGGTTCCTATTATTATTGCAAGTGGTAATGGTTCATCTCTTGCGTCTTGCTGCCAAGTGAATGGGCCCATTGTCCTGATCCTGCACAGGGTCAAAATGGAATTCATGTTTGCAAAGTGCTTTGAGACCCTTAGATAGCAGCTTTATAGGCATGTGGGTTATTAATGTGGACCCTCTGTACTGCCTGGGCAGCATGGGCCTGGCTGTGTTGCTTGAGCTATAGAAGGGAAGGTTGTTCTGGCCGAGGACTTACTTTCAGCTGGGTTGAGAATGGAATGGGAACGGCAGCCTGTTCCCAGGCAGTTTTTACCCGTGAAATTGTCATATATGAAATGAGTTGTGGGCACACATACCAGGCTCCTTGTTCTGTAATTGAAAGGAAATCCCATTTACATGGCTGCCAATCCTTTGGCTTTGAATTTAGCCCATTCACTGTCATAATTCTAGGAAGAGAAAGGAGAATTTGGGAATTTGAGAGTTATACCTACCTAAACGCGTGTGTGTGGGGATGTGCGCGCAAGTGAAAAAGAGCCAGTAACACACACACGTGCGCACACACGCACATACATGCGCACACGTGCACGCGTTTGGAGTTCCAGATACAGCTGCATTGTGTGCCATCCCTTCAAGGGGAGACCTTTGACCCAGGCAGCCCCCTTGAGAGAAGGTGGAACTCCAGAAATGGAAGGCGCCTGCATTCTGTCTTTTGGCAGCTCCGGGAACTTGACCTTAGTTGAAAGGAAAGCACCATTCAGCTGAAAGCCGTCTACCTGCCTGACTGATTCCAGACCCTCTCTGCTTCATTATTATTTTTCAGAGTGCACCACCTCTACCATTCTGCAGTTCCAGGAAAGCATAATAACCTGGAGCCATATCCCCTGTGTCTGGGATTTTATTACAATTGCGAGCTGTTTTACAGCTAGTTCACTCGCAATAATAAAAGAAAAGCCACAACCCCAGAGAGCTGCAGCTGTCGTCCTGGAGCTGATGAGCTGGGGGTGGGTGTGGGGGAGAAGCTTTGGGAAAAGTCTGCCTGAACTCCTTCCTGGGATTTGTCTGCCTGGCCTTGTTCTTTTTCACAGGCCGTTTCCTAGTAGTAAATATTCTGTCTCAGACGGGGCAACCCACCTCACCACCAGCCTCTTAACAGGCTAGAGAAGCTCTCTGGAAATGCAGGAGATGATTTGCATCTTAGTCACTTATTGCACAAAAGGCCAAGTAAAAGGTTTAGGAAAGCCTCTATTTGTTTTGTACAACTACTGTCCTTGGAAGGTCACTCCCCACCCAGGGTTGTTCGTGCTTTCTCTCTTTCTCCCTTTCCCTCACCCTTCCTTCCTCTCCCTAATGCTCACATTCCCAAGGTGCCCATAACCCTCACCCCAACTTGTCACTTCACAGAGCCTTGTGTCTCTGCTGTAACACGTGCTCTACCCAGGGGACATGAAAATGCTTTGCCAATGTTAACCTTTCTCCTACCCCTGTGATGGACGTGTGCACTATAGCCCTCCTTTTACAGACTGGGAGGCTGATGCAAAAGGAGGTGAACTGCCTCACCTAAGGTCATGATGAAGCAAGTCAGAGGCAGGAATGGAAGAAGAACCCAGGAGCCCTGGCTCTCTGCACTAGCCGCTGGACCACCTGCTCTTGCATTAGTCCTCAACACAAGGCTTGTGGCCAGCTTGGGGCCCACAAGACCCTCGGAGGTTGTGCTTGGCCATGGGAAACATTGCTTTCCAGCCGTGTGCATTTCTTTGGGTGGATGGGGAGAGTTCAGTCTGACATTGGCTGCAGCACGTCGCTTGCTCCATAGCATGTTGCATTGGGACCAACCAAGCAGTATACTCCTCATGTCCTGTAAGACCCCCACTCCTGTACCCACAGGAATCAGTAGCAAAAGTCCCATTTACTTTAGCAATACAGGATCAGTCATAAACGCCTGCCTCTCCTAGATAGTTATTCTGCAGTCCCCTTTACCATAGTGTGTCCCGGCACCTCACACCCACCTGAGAGGCAGCACACATCTGTTATCCCCCTTGTACAGATGGGGAACTAAGGTCCATAGAGATTTGGGGCATGGACAGAGGAACAAAATGAAGCAAGAGGTAAGGAGGTGGGAACTCACTGCATATCAGTTGCTCTGTGGTACTCACTCTTACCCCACGGCAAGTGAAAACTAAACCTGGGGCCTCAGGGGTCCTCAGCTTCGTGCTCAGGCCTCTGGACAAGTGATGCCATTACCGAACACCACCTCCATACCTCTCTCGATTGGTCATTGCAAGTGACCGCTCTAGCTTGGTCACTGGCGATGGGTAATAGGCCCTGGAGTCTGATCCTCCCTCCCCTCTCACAGATATCGATGAGTGTGGGCAGAACAACGGCGGCTGCGACCACATCTGCAGGAACACGGTGGGCAGCTTTGAGTGCAGCTGCAGGAAAGGTTACAAGCTGCTGATCAACGAAAGGACCTGCCAAGGTAAGAGTCGTGCCAGAGCTGGGCCATCAGAGGTGGCAGCAGAGGCAAGTTCTCTTATGGGCTGTGGGCCCTTTTCACAGATCGACGCATGAGCCTCAAGGACAGCAAACTACAGAGGGTCCCCAGGAAACCGCAGGCCTCCAAGGGTGACATGGTGTAGCTTAGCCCTTCCCAGTTTAGGGGCTGTGACTCCAAGTGGGCTCACAGCAGCGATGAGCAGGGTTGTGCAAAGGGCTTTGTCTGAGCAGAGTTGACCAGAATTGGGGCCAGAGTTGCTTGACCACCCTGTGTTCTCCTCAGCAGGGGTGAGCGGTGGTGCAAGTCCTCTGTTGTTCTCCTGGCAGCTGCCAGGGGCTGGGCACTTTCGGGCTGGCCCAGCTCTGAGCATTGTGCGCTTACAGATCTGGCCGAAGAGGGCTCCTTTAGTCACAAGGTTTGGATCCCAGACTTCCCCACAGGTTCAGCCTACAGTAGAGATTCTGGGACCCAGCAGTGACATTTGGATCGTGATGCAAACTTCTTCATGCTTCAGGGGGGGGTGATGCATTGTGCGATCTCTGTGGGTCTGTCTTTTGAACACTCAAACCAAGTTGAAATTCCAGCCATGGCCCCGTTCTCACTCAGTGGGGACTTCAGGGGTCTTGCGCCAGTTCTCAAGCACCCAGGTGCTGCAATTGCAAGTATCACAGGCAGGGCTGTGCCCGCATAGGAAGCCCAACCCCAGTGGCAGGGTGCCGCCACCCAGCACTGCCTGGCCATCTGTGCCCTCGCCCTCAGCAGTGATGGCAGTGACCAGTGGGAGGGCTGTAGCTCAGCCTCCAGCTCCAGCCGGTCGGTGATGGTGAAAACCTTGATACACAAGCTGGGACTGCCCAGCCACACCGCCTTCTCTGTGGGCACCGCTGCCTTGCCCTGGGCCTGGCCCTCAACACCCTCCTCCCACCTCGTTATGCTGCCTGGCAGTGCCTGCAACGGCTGGGAGGAGAGGGAGCTTTTTATCCCACTGCCCTGGGCAGCTGGCTCCAATCAGCTCCCGTGCAGCTGGGCAAGGGGTGGACCCCACTGCCCAGCCCCGAGAATTAGTTGCACCTGAAGTCCCTCCACAGCTCCCGCCCAGCACGAGCGGCAGGGCAGGGGGGGTGTGAGACGCCCCCTGACCACAGTGCTTTGCGTGGTCACCCACACTGCCCACCTCTAAGGCTGGCTCTGTTCACGTGATGTGGCAAATAGCAGCACACATATGTAACGTGTACACACACGCAGCCGTGCTGTGCACTTTCATCCCTCCGTAGGCATTCTTGCTGACACACACACAGGCATGCATTCTGCGTGGGTGACGTGCATATTGCACTCCAGGGCTCTGGCGACATTCCCCTAACCCTGTGCTGTCAGGATGGCCTGCAAACCCAGAGGGACATGCAGCCCCATTCACAGCTTAGCACGCAGATTAACACTCAGACACGTAACTGCTTTTACAGACAATTCGAGCTGTTTATTGCACTAGGCCTTTGCAGGGGATGTGGGGAGAGAGCAACATGAACTCTGTGGCTCATATTCGCGCACACCAGCTAGTTTCTTGCTTCTCTTGAGAGGCAGTTGGAGGTGAACTGAGGTTTGCGAAAGCTTGTGCTCTTTCTATATACATTTTATTCAGTTAGTCTATAAAGGTGCAAATCTTCCTGCCTTCTGACATGCCTCTCAGGACCATTCATGGGAATCACAGAACCTCCCTATTTCACCCGGTTCCCTAGAAGATGCCCCTACTGAGTGGGAAGACATGGGGGGGAAAGGGCAGCTGAGGCCCAGTCTGGGGTTTCAGCGTGGTTCGTCACTGCTTATTTTTACTGCGGGCTTCAGAGACAAGACAGGGGCAGGGGTGGGACCTCAGGCCCAGACCAGGCAATCCTGGAACAGTATCTGTCCTACCACTGCCTTCTATCTCCTGTGAGCTCCTGCACCTGGATCAGCCGGCTGGGACCAGGATGGTGCGCACAGGGAAGAGAAGGGAGGCAGCCTGTTGTGTCATGGCTGGCATAGGTGACACAGAGCAAGGACTCCTGGTTTTCTATTCCCAGCTCAGCTATGGCTTGTTTCTCTCTGCCTCCCTGCACCTGCATTACCCTGGGTGGAGGGAGGAGGCTGGTGCTTTGTGATCCTCGTATCTGAGTCCCCTTGGTGCACACAGTGCTACAAGGCCATAAGGGCCAGTCCCTGCAGAGCCCTGGTGTAAGCCAGGCCAAGCACTGAGGCCGTCCTGCTTCCCTGGGCCAAAATCTGCAGGCAAGACTGGCAGGGATGTGAGGTGGTACAGATCTGGTATCTGGGGCGTGCAGCCAACTCTGGGCAAGGGGTAGATGTGCCTTCAGGCTCTGACCCCTTTCATCTCTGTCCAGGTTCTGCCTTCTTGGAAGTTTTACACGATCGCGGCAATTAAGTTAATGAAGCCAATAAATGAAAAGAACCCCTTGGGCTGGGTTCACCCCCCAAACTGCGCATCTCCGGGTAGAGGAGAAGGAGCTGGCACTTCTGGCACCAGGGGGCCCTGCCAAGAGAGTGTGCTTTCCTAGTAGTGCATGGGCTGGCCACACAGCCTGGGGAGTTTGGAGCTGCCTTCCCCCTTCTTGCATCCCATGGCAGGACCTGCCCTGCCGGGGCCCTGACACGCTGGGATTTAACCCTGTGCCTTGCAAATAACTTGCAAAGTGGGGCAGCACAAGGAGCCCAGAAGCTGCTCACCATGCTAACCTGCCCCCTTCTAGAGGTCTGGTTGGGGCTCAGAGAGGCCAAAGAGCCTGTTCCTGCCTTGGAGGCTCTTGCTTTAAGATCCAGAGGTCCCAGGTTTGGTCCCAGCTGCCGCCAAATCTGCACCCAAGGGTTCAGTGTCACAGAGGCTCAGGGAACTGCACTGGGACAAGGAAGGGGATGCTCTGCTCTCCTGTCATGTTCAAATTAATGGGGCAGGTGTTGCTGCAGACAGGATTGTGCTGGGTGTCTGGTCAGGGCATCCTTGTGGGCATGGGATTGGTACCAGCTTTCCTGGGGGACACTGGAGATGAGCAGCAGAGGAAGCAAGGCCCCCAAGTGTCTGCTGCATCACGGGGCTTGTTACGCCTGTAGAGCAGATCCTCTGGTTGAGCTCTGTGCCTTTCTGCTCTCCCCCCAGACATCGATGAGTGCTCCTTTGACAGGACCTGCGACCACATCTGCATCAACACGCCGGGGAGCTTCCACTGCCTCTGCCACACAGGCTACACGCTGTATGGAGTTACCCACTGCGGAGGTACAGGGGAGCTGACCGGGAGGAAGCCAGAGGGAGGTGGTGTTTATCCATCCCTCTCTTCCTTTGCATTTCCTGCACAGCCTCCAGTCCTCCGGTTGCACTGAGCTTGTGTCTGTCCTGAGCAAGCAGCCCAAGCTTGTGGCTAGCAGAGGTTGGTTAGACTGGGGGTGCTCTCAGAAGTTCCCAAAGTCACCTGGCAGAGTCAGTCACCAGTTGCTTTCCCATTTACCAGCTTTTTAGCCCCAGGATCTACCCAGTATGGGAACTATCTCCCTAGGGCTAGGGCTAGGGCTAGGGCTAAGGCTGGGAGCCCTGTGGCTTGTGCAGGCTAAGATTGGCAGATCCCTGGAGAATAGACTGCAAGGGACAGACCTGCCTGGTTTGCTAGGAAGGGAAAAGGAGGAGCTGGGAGCTATATGGAGCCTGCTGGGGTATGCCCAGCTTTACTGTGTCTGATTCCAGACAGCTCTGGATTTGCTGTGAAAGAGCTTCAGATTCAGAAAAAGCTGTGAACATGCATTCAAAACCGCAGGCATCCTGGAGGGGTCAGAGCCTTCCTGCTCCAGGGAAAAGTTGGTTTCTCATTTCCTGGAATAGAAAGGAGGTGTCTCTGGAAGCATGGGACCCCCAGAGCTGGTCCCTGGGGTATTACCTTCAAGAAGGTGGTGCTGACCATCCCGTCAGAGATGGGCTGGATGGACCTGCAGGCTGATCCAGTCATTCGGGTCCTTTGCTCCTCATGAGGGATAAACACCTGCTGCGCTGTAGATGTGAATTTGTGGGGGGTGTTCATTTCTGAAACTGGAGATTAGCAGGCCAGTAATCTGAAAGGCCTGGGGGAGGTCATGGACAGGAGCTAGCCCACATACCCCTCCAGAAGGGGAGAGGATAGCAGGGGGGCTGCTGGATGCAAATACCGGGATCCCCTCCCTGCAGCTGAAGGCCCAGGGTCCAGATCCTCTCAGGGATTCAGGCTGCTGCTTCCTTGGCCAGGCCTTCCAGTAGGCAGCGGACCAGCTGCTACTGCCCAATAGCTTCCATGCAAACCCCATGCTCCCTCACCTCCTGGGAAGGGCAGAAGCAAAGCAGCAAGAGGGGACCCCCGTCTTCTTGACCACTTCTGCATAGTGGGAGACGCTGCTCCAGAACCTGCATTCCTTATCAGCTGCCCCGAGGCTGCTAGAGGCCAGGGGGAGGGGAGCGGGGGGAGCAGGCAGAGGAGGAGGCCTGAGAAGCCAGACATGAGTCTCTGCAACATCAAACAAAGTGACAGGGGCGATTTGCGACTTGTCCGCTGGAGGAGACTGGAGGGGGAAATCCCCCGCACTTTTGGCATGAAGTTGGGATGGGCCGTGGGGGAGGGAACATCAGAAAGGCTTCAGTTGAAGTTTCACCAGGCAGAGCCCCGGGGTGGGGTGGGGCAGGGCGGGCCTTACCCCCCGGAGAGGGGGAAGGGGATGAAATGCTCGGAGGGGCTGTTGGAGCATGTTGCGGCAGCTGTGCGATGAGCAACCCGAGCAAGGTGGCTTGAGATCCACCCCCCCAATTACCTGGATTAAGGGAGAGGTGTAAACACATAAGAGCATGCATGCCCCACACGCTCGCCAGCGGCAAGCTCCCACGCTGCCCAGCACATGCCTGCCTGCAGACACAGCCCCGCCGAGCCCACGAACATGCACCTTCCAAACCCTCCTGCCCAAGGGAGTTGCAGCAAAGTCAGCAGCAGGATGCCCCTTATGGGGATCCTTTGTAAGGGTTCAGTGTCAGGCCCCTACACTGTCCTAGCCAAGGGTGGTAAACCCCAGCCAAAATGCAGCAGGGCCTCCCAACCACCCGGGCCCAGTGCCGATGCCCTCCTCTGAGCGCAGTGTGTGCATGCACCGATCAGCTCCATCAGACTCTAGTCTGGCGGCGACGCAAGTTCCATCAAGCCCAGATTCCCGTAAGAGCCGTGCAGCCTGCCCATGGATTCCTTGCTCTTCCGCCTGCCCCCAGCCTTGCTGACGTCAAGGGGCGTTCACTTCAGCGAGCCCAGGATTTCACCCACTGGGTGCTGTTCTGCTCCCAACCGGCATGCCCATGCAGCTGTCGCTGGGGGCCAAGTGTTTAGCAGCAGACATGCAAAGGCACATGCATGTCACTACAGACCCAGAGCCACAGGAGCTGAGCACCAGCTCACCCAGAAATGCTCTCTTGCCTGTGTGCTGGCTGGGGCACGTCATGTTGCTGCAGTGCTCCTCCTCCCCCTGGGAGCAGAGGCGATTCTCAAGGAGGTTTCCTGGAGAGCCACGTGCCTGGATCAGACGTGTGAGGCCAAACTTTGTGGGGAGCGGTTGTAGGAAGTCAGGAAATGCATCAATTGCCCTCCTAGGAGTCCCCGGGCCTGCAGTACACAAGAGGTCAGGCCAGACCAGTCTTTTGGCCTCTGCCTTTATGACAACGTGGGAGGAAATGTGTGGGAATTACTCTGCTGAGTGTGTAATCACTTGAGTAGACCCTCCTGCTTGCTACTCCTGGCCTGGAACGTCCCAGAACAGCTGTCAGGCTCCCACTAGCAGGGATATTTCACACCAGGAGCAAGAAGAAATCTACCTCAAATGCAGGCTCGGGGACCTTAGCTGCCTGGGGCATGCTGCTTTGAAGTGGGGTGCACTGATGGAGTGTCAGGGGTGGGTGTCGAGGGGCCTGGCTGTCAGCTGCCTTTTGAACTCAGTGGCCAAGTGTTTCCACGCAAGTCCCAGCTGCACCACCCGCTCCCCTTAGCTCCCCACTGCTCAGTGCCTTCCTCTTCCCTCACCCACTGTGAGCCTTCCCCACTCCTGTACCTGTGCCAGCCCCTGCCCAGTGCCCTGGGTTCTTGGCAGAAGAGGGCAGATTTCCTGAGTGCCAATCAGCAGAGACCCTGCAGCACTTGTGACAATGGGCAGCTGCACTTTGGCTGTGGGCCTGCCCTTCCCTCCAGCCCCTGGTGGAGCCTGCACCTGCATTTGTGGGAACTGCAGTTTTCATCTCGTTCCACCAGTGCTTCCCCAGTGGCGTTAACTGGGTCTGAAAATCAGGGCATAAGTTGGGCATCCAAGCTTGCAGGCCACCTTTGAGATGGGGCTTCAGTGACTTGACTAGGATCACATGGGGAGGCAGGGGCACAGACAAGGGCAGCTCCCAGTGCTCCTGTTTTTTATTGTTCGCACCACTCCTAGCATGGACGGTGGAAGCCAGAAGACCTGTCCTGCTTGCCCCACCTGTGGTTAGTCTCACTGAGAGGCTGCAGTGGTGACACCTCCCACCTTCTGCATAATAGTGGCCTGGTGGCCTGGGCTCTAGGTCAGTGTAAGCAGGCTCGACCCAACTTAGCATCATTCAGCAACCGCCTCGCCTTGCTCCCCACAGACATCGATGAATGCAGCATCAACCGAGGAGGCTGCAAATTCGGCTGCATCAACACCCCTGGCAGCTACGAGTGTACCTGTCCCGCTGGCTGCAAGTTGCACTGGAACAAAAAGGACTGCATCGGTAAGTCGGGCCTGGGGCGTGCTGCTGCTGCCATCCAGCGGCTGGACCTAGACTGGCAGGCCATGAGCCACTGGTTTCCATTTATTTGTTGCACGGACTTGAGGAGTCAGTGTCTCTGCCTGGGGGGGATTTTGCTGTTTTGGGGGTCGGGGACAGCAACAGCCCAGAGCCCACTCCTTTCTGGGCACAGAGCTTGCCCATCCCACGCCTGCTCGGAGCACCAGACCAACAGGAAGCACCTCCACTTGGGGCTCCAGAGTGCTTGTCTCGGTGTCAGTTCAAGGCCAGGGAAGGGTGCCAGCTTAACTGCCCGGGAGGCAGGAGACTGGCCCATCCCCAGCGCTGTACCTTCTGGCAGAGAGTGATGAGGTTCAGGACCCATGGCCCAGCCTGTGCTCAGCTGCTGTGCTGGGACTGCTGGTGGAGGGACCAACCAGTGTCAGTTGTGGGGCAGACCTTTGAAGGGGTCTCCAGTCAGGAGACATTTCCCGTTTGCCCCCACGCTCATCTCCCAGGGCCACTGCAGTCAGGAGAGGAGAGAACTTGGGGTCAGGTAGGGTGGGATCCTGGATGCTCGCTTAGGAAGTGGAAATAAGGCATAGACCTCTCCTGGTCAGGTTCTGTTTGCTTTGAATACAGTGTCCTTTTTCCCATGGGAGCCTAAGGCACTTAGCTTAGAGGTGGTCTCCCTGGCCCTCGCATGCAGCCACCTCTGGGGAGCGGGGCACAGCAGTCATTTGTGACCACCCATAGGGACACTGATGTGTCCTGTTGGCTCCCCTTCACTGCCAATCAAGACATGGGACAGGCACAAATTGAGCACAACCCCTTCCCAATGAACGAGTGAGTGAGACCCCAGTAGACACCTTTATATCTCGGTGGTCTGGCAAGTCACAGCCCCAGGGTGGGCCAAGAGTGCATGGATGTGGGCACCCAGAGGGTCCCACTCATCCTTGCCTCGTGGCACCTGTCCCCAGAGCCTGCTGCAGGAGCAGGTGGTGGAGGCAGGAGGAGAGCTGCTGCCCTGACGAACGTGGGGTGGGAAAGAGGTTAGTGTGTCCTTTGTCTCGGTGTTGCCCGTGGTGCAGCCTGTGCTTGGCTGGCCACCATGGGTCACCTCTGCTTGTCATTACCAGCCAGTGCTTGTCGTCCTTCAGAGCTGGTGAAGTGCCTGGTGGGCTCTGCCTCCCACCGGGCCACGCTGTCTTGCAACAAGAACGGCAAGAAGGACAGCTGCTCCCTCACCTGCACCTCCAAGGCCCGCTTCCTGCCAGGTATGCACTCGCAGCCCTCAGGCCTTGCCCCCTCCAGGATCTGTCTTGAGGGCTTGAGCTTCTCTGGGCAGTTTCCATCATGAAAGACTTTACAGGCTGGGCATGCAAGAATCACCTTGCTCCTTGCTGAGGTGCAGCCAGCTCTGGGGTGGGTCATCGAGGCTGTTATACAGCACAAGAGAGCAGCTGAATGCCCAGGGAGAGCTCAGGGACTTAGGCTGCACAGTGTCTACAGCTCTCTGCCTCTAAGGCAGGGCATCACCTGCCCGTGTCTGAAAGCCCTGGCTGGGACACTTGGCACCCTCCCACAGGGCTCCCCATCCACTAAACCCCCTGCTCCACAGCTGGGCTGCAGGACTGGCCTGCTTTTACCCAGGCTGTCATGGCAGGGACGTTTGGGATTGGAGGGAGGGGGCTTCAGGCTATGTCTTGGCCTCTGCAGCTGGCTTGCCTGGACAGTCCCTTTGGTAGCACCTTTGATGAGCGCTGCCTGGAGGTTCAGAGACTGACGGCAGATCGAAACCCAGAGTTGTTCAGACACCGAGGTGCTGCCTGCTCTCTGGATACTTGCTGCTACCGCTGAGCTCTGAGGGCAGCACCAGCCAGAGGTGTCTTTAGGAGCCAGGCTACACAATCCTCCCTTTTTTTGCAGAGTCTGACAGCAGCTACACGGTGAGCTGTGGGACGCCCATCCAGCGCCAGGGGGCCCAGCAGCGGCCTGGCAACAGCAGCCATCACTGCGTCGGTAAGCTCGCTCTCCTGGGTCTGTCCAGGGCTCCCCCAGCCACCATCGGGGAGGCTCAGCCAGTGCCCTGATGTTTAGCACCTGCCTTTTCTTTTAGAGACTGTCGCTGCTCCAATCAAACAAAAAGCTTCCTTCAAGATCAAGGACGCCAAGTGCCACCTGCACCCACGCGCAAAGGGGAAGCAGGATGAGTCGGGGAGGCCTGGGGCGCCAGGTGAGGCTCCCCCTTCCCTTGGGCACTTTGGGGTGTGAGCGTTGGGGGCAGAAGAGGATGGAGCTGATGGCCTCCACCACCTGCCAGCTGCACAAGCTCTGCTGCAGCTGCGAAGGGAGGTGTCTGTTGGGACCCCCTGTCCGAGGGAGCCACAGGAAAGATAATGACCCTCTGTCCCTATCTTCTCAGGTGGGGTGGCCCCCTGCTTGGATTGCCAGGTGACCTTCGTGAACCTCAAGTGCGACTCCTCCAGGAAGGGCAAAGGCCGCCGTGCCCGCAACCCCTCCAACAAGGAAGTGACCCGCATCACCCTGGAGTTTGAGGCAGAAATCAAACCAGAGGAGATCACAGGTAGGGAACAGGCCCGCGAGACCCAGTTGGCCCAGGGTGCACAGGGCTGGAGGGGATTCCAGATGTGGGGGGTGGGACTGGGGGCTAGGCTTTCCCAGGATGCACTGGGGCTGAACCCAGGGCTATGTAACAGGATCGGATAGTCCTTGAAGCACATCTGCTCTGTGTGATTTGTCCTTTCCCACCCCTAGGTCCGCAGGAAATGACAGATTGCATTGCCTGGGGGTGTTCTGTGGCTTGCTCAGACCACCTCCCTCTGGGCAGGTGTCTGTCTCGCAAACTGCTGCCCCAGCCCACACTGACCGGCCCCTCATCGGTGGTCTGTTCAGGAGCTCAGGATTCCCCTGAGCCATGGGATCTGACCCTCTTCCACACCACTGGAGGGGCTCCAGTTAGATGGGGCTCACTACTGGACTGGGGTGGGGGAGTCCTGCCTACCCCTCCCTGTCCATGCTGCGGCTTTAACTAGCGCTTGCAGAGCCCTTACGGGAGCTGTGATGGGCACAAGAAGGTGATGGGAGAGGACAGGAAGGGGACTTCACCTGGATACCGAGGGGACAGATACCCCAGCTGAGCTGCTGGTGGGGAGGGGGCATTGAGGTGGATCCCCCATCACCTGAAGGCACCACTTGGCTCTGTTAGTGCCCTGTGTCCTCTCTCCCACCTGGCCCCAGAGACTGAGGTCAGATCAGCTTCAGAGGCTGGGGCCACAGCCCGAGCGTGTACCTGCTGCCACCACCGAGTTGTGTTGGTGACAAGAGGTGATGCTGGAAGGGACAGGGGATGGAGGGGCCCATTCTTCCCCCGCACCAACACATACATCATGCTAGTGGCTCTAAGGAGGCACCACAGCACAGCAGCCCATGAGGGGAGGCTGGGAGAGGGACCTGCTTTCCCTCTCCTCCACTCATTCCCACCCTCCCCACTTAACCATGCGATCCCTGGCCCTCTCCCCCCTAGCCAGCTGCAACATGAACTGCCTGCGGCAGCGGGTGGAGAAGAAGCTGAAGTCCGCGATCAAGGCCCTGAAGAAGTCCATCAACCAGGAGCGGTTCCTGATCCGCTTCGCGGGCATGGAGTACGAGGTGGCCCGGAAGCTGAGCATGGCCCTGGAGAGGCAGGAGAGCTGCGGGCCTGGGCAGCAGAGGGTGGGATCCAAGTGTGGTAAGAAAACAGCCAGGCTGCATCAGAGGCTGGCAGGGGCCTGGGGCCAAGTGAGCATTCAGCGGTGAGCCCCAAGTGCTGCATTGCAGCAACCAGGCACCTCTGCTTTAGCTGAGGTGGCAGGGGAGGTGACCACTAACTGTCTGCCTCGGGAGCTATTTCTTTGTCACAGTTCGGGGCCTGGGACCCTGTGGGCCCTTGGGACCTGCAGCCAGAGCCAGGGGTAGCCCGATGGGGAGCTGCTTTCTGCAGGTCACTAATGCGTCTGCCTCTCTCTCAGTTAGCTGCTCGCAGGGAACGTATTACCATGGTCAGATGGAGCAGTGTGTCCCCTGCCCTCCTGGGACCTACCAGGAGAAGGAAGGCCAGCTCTCTTGTGACCACTGCCCCAGAGGCGATGCTTATGGCCCAGCTGGAGCAACCAACGTAACCAGCTGTGCAGGTACAGTGCAGCACCAGCACGGTGTTGTTTCCTCTCCTCGGGGCACTGTACAACCCGGGGCTCACAGGGAGTCTCGGAGCCTCAGCAATGACTGCAGCTTCCATTCGGCTCTGGAGAGACGCCATGGAGACCTCCCGTGTATCGCAGCCACCCAGCACAGCCAGCTTCTGCAGACAGGTGTGAGGCGGATAAGCCCCTGCTCTCCCAAGCTCAAGGGTTACCAGACCAGGGTGGACTGCAGATAGGCCCTTTGTGCTCTGCCTCGAGTCTCTGTTCAAAGCAGGACAGGAGAGAGGGAGGCATGGAAGTGCAGTGCTGAGGGACCTGCCCTCCCCCTTTCCCCAGTCTGCTTGGGGATACCATGCTGAGTTGTACCTATGGCAGGAACTTTTGAGTCAAGTGGGGCTGGGGCTGTAAGAGCAAAACTGTGGGCTTGGGGGAGGAGTTGGTTCTTGGTGCTGTTTTATCAGAAGTCCCAGAGTTCAAGGGAAAGATGGCAGAGCGGTGTGTGCTCTGAGTCTGTGCAGCACCTAGCACAGCGGGGGCCTGGGACATGGCTGAGGCGGTGAAGCAGAGCCACAGTACAGATATGACTTGGATAAATGGTTTCTCTTCTTCAGCGGTCACTGCGTAGCCCTATTGCAGTAGTGTTCCCAGGGAATTGCCAGGTCCCTGCCAGGGATCAGTGGGCCATGGGGCTGTCCTTCCATCAGGAGGATCCCAGAGCTCACTGGGGCTTTCAGGCCCTGGCTCTGTCCAGTCTGTGCAGCAGGAGCTGAGAAGGACTGACCCCGTTTCCCTTTGTTTCTTGCATGGACCTCAGGTCAGTGTCTCCCTGGGCAGCACTCAGTGGATGGCTTCAAGCCCTGCCAGCCATGTCCCCGGGGTTCCTACCAGCCCGAAGTAGGGCGGGCTCTGTGCTTCTCCTGCGGTGGAGGCCTGACCACTAAGCACGAGGGCGCCTTCTCCTTCCAGGACTGCGACACCAAAGGTATGTCTCAGCCAGCAGCTCCTTCTGCACCTGGGGGAGCCTCAAGAGAGCAGGAAACCAGGAGAGAACAGGGGGAAGCCCTGGGTGCCTGGGCAGTGCAATGGGCAGGTGTCTAGGACTGAGCCTGGGCCACTGTTGCTGTATCCCTGGACTGGATCAGTGGCTCCTCAGCTCTCTCAGCCCTGTAGGTGCCTGGGGGAGGCAAACCCCAGCCTCATTTCTTGCCCAGCTTCTCTCCACATCTTGGCCCTGCTTTCGCCTCCATCACACTCTTCCCAAACCTGTCTGCAGCTTTGCCACTTCCAGCCTCCCTCTTCATATCACCCACCCCTTCTCCTCCCCCCTCTGCCTTTCACAACAGCGCTCGGTATTGATCCACCTCTTGATGCCATGTGAACTGCTCCCTTGTGCAGGGCCAGACTGTAACATCTTTGAGAGGCTCCACATCTGTCACCACCCTGCTCAATGGCTTCAGAAATTCACCAGCCTGGGTACAAAATCTGTCTGTCCAGGGTACGGTGCTGAGGCTAATGAGAGTCGACTGCAGACGCAGTATTTGCCAGGCTTCCATGAAGTTGTGTAGCTACATTGCTACCCCTTAGAGAGCACTCAGGCAGGAGCCTGAAAGGAGTCTGCAGTGTTGGTGGTCTGAAGCTGTGTAGGCCCTGGGGCCATTGCTGTGTTTATTAGGGTGAATAACAACAGTATGGAATAGCTGGGTGATTTCAGCCTGTATGACAAGGGACCATGGTTGGCAGAACCGTGCAGCTATTCATGACTATGTTGATGCTGTTTCTGTGCACCATGGTGATGAGGGAGGGCAGTTCCAAGTCCAGAGTTTGGCACGTTTTGCGGTCTGGAGACAGACAGAGAAGAGCTACTTCAAAGAAAAGTCACACTGCAGTCTGCACGGCAGCAAGCCTAGGGGATCTCGGCATCAAAGGGATTGCTCTTCCCCTTGCCCCTTCAAGGGTGACCAGCTGTGAGCTGAGAAACAAGACCGGGGCGGGGGGGTGCCTGTCCAGCTCTGCTGCTGATTTGTTTCATGGCCTTGAAGCTGTCACCTAGTGTCTCCGTGGCAGTGTTCCCAGCAGTGTGACTTGCCTCCCCAAGGGAGGGGGAGGAGAGGAGTGGGAACTGGGAGCCAGCTGCTCTGTCAGTCAGTGTTTGCTTATCGAAAGTGCTGACTGGCTGAGCTGTGAGAGCTGTGCTCCCCACACCTGAGGCGGCCTTCTTTTCTCCACTTCCGCAGTTCAGTGTTCCCCGGGCCACTACTACAACACGAGCGTCCATCGCTGCATCCGCTGCGCCGTGGGCACCTACCAGCCGGACTTCCGCCAGAACTACTGCATTGCCTGTCCGGGCAACACCACCACCGACTTCGATGGCTCCACCTCCGTGTCGCAGTGTAAAAGTATGCTCTGCGGGTGGCTGCAACGTGGCTTCCCCGGCCCCTCTGCATGCAGCTTGGTCTCTGTGTTCTCTCACCGATGTCTCAGTCCATCAGCGTCACTCACTGTCAGAATTGATTTTGATCTAGAATGTCCCTTGGTGTTTCTGGTTGGTCACCCAGGCACGTGCACACAGATAGTGGTGCACACACATCCAACCATATCTACACCTGTCTATGCACACGCATGCACACGTGTATTCATGTGCATGGTTACAGCACACGGGCACCTGTTCAGTGCAGTGCTCTGCGAGACTGTGCATTCACTGCACACAGGTGCTGCGCAGGTACACATAGCCATATGCAAATCCCTATGTACACACACACAAGTGGAATTTCCACTATTCCCTGAGGCAGGCGCAGTTCCCTGCCTTCTGCCCTCCTGTCCCTGCTGCTCATTCTCCTTTGGAGCTGATCCCTAGCGACCGCTGCTCCTTGTTGCCTTGCAGACCGCCAGTGCGGGGGAGAGCTGGGCGAGTACACTGGCTACATCGAGTCTCCAAACTACCCTGGGAACTACCCTGCCAACATTGAATGCACCTGGAACATCAACCCACCTCCAAAGCGCAAGATCCTCATCGTCGTCCCCGAGATCTTCCTCCCATCTGAAGACGAGTGTGGGGACGTTTTGGTCATGCGGAAAAACTGTAGGTAACCGATGGCTGCGTTGGGGCCATGCTGGGCAAGGGGGGTGTTAAGGCGATGGGAGCCACTGCCCCAGGCTGGCTGGGCTGTGGAGACCTCTGGGAGCCGTGGAGCCCATTTGGGAGTGACACCAGGGATGGAGCAGGCTTGGGTGAAGCACACTGTGTCTCTGAAAAGCCAGCTTCCCCCCTGCCTGGGTGGAACGAAGTAAGTGGACTCAGAGTGAGGAAGGCGCCTGCCTCCCTGGGCTATGCCAAGTATCCTGACACAGAAATGAGAGTTTGGAGTCAGCGGATGGACCCACACTATTCACTGGCCTTGGGCTGGCTTCACTGCTTATCTCCCTCCCTTCCCCACACTGCCACAAGGAGGTGAGCTGGGTGCAGGCCCAGTAGAGGACCGTGGCTGTGCATCACTTACAGTGCCTGGGCCAGCCAAGGGGGAGGTGGGATCAACCTGATCAGCACTGGGTCCACTGCAAACCCTGAGGTGGCTGGGCTGCCCTTCTGTCCTAGGGCATCGCCAGCCTGCCCTGATAAGGATGGAGTGAGCCAAGAGCAGTTTGGGGGGAACAGGGAGGGGGTTGGAGCCCTGCTGTAGCTCTTGGGCTGATGAAATATCCTTCTGCCAGCAAGCTGGGCCTCAAGCCAGTGGGGGTCCCGTGGATCCTGGTGCACTGCATCCAGGTGCCGATGCTGTCGGACTCACGGCTTGGGAAAGGGCCCCGGTCCACATTATCAAGAGGGGCTGCTAGAGCCAGCGGCACTCAGCACCTCCAAACACCAGGTGCCATCCCCCAGGCACCTGCAGTCTGTGGCTGCTCCTGAAACCACTGGCTTTGATGGACCAGTGCCTGAACTGGAAGGGTAAGTTTCCCCTGGTAGGAGAAACAGCACATGACCTCCACAGATGGGCTCTGTTCATGGGCCCAAAGCCCTGTGGTCCTGTAGCATGGCCCTTGAAGACAGCAGAGGGTCAGGTGCCCCGGGGCAGACTCCCCCTGCCTTCAACATTTGAGCCAACCAAAGGCCATCCCTGGGTGTCTCTGTGGCTGAACGATTTCAGGCAACACATGCTCCTGTGCTGTTCCCCTTTTCAGCCTCCCCGTCCTCCATCACGACCTATGAGACATGTCAGACATACGAGAGGCCCATCGCCTTCACTGCCAGGTCCCGCAAACTGTGGATCAACTTCAAAACCAGCGAGGCCAACAGTGCCAAGGGCTTCCAGATCCCCTATGTCACCTACGACGGTACGAGGGGGACCCCGAAGCAGGGGTACATGAGTGTGCATGTGCAAGGGCACAGCAGGGCAGGGGTGGGAGCATTGCACTGGATTGGCTCACGTGCATTCACGAGGGTTACCTCCCTCTTGGTAGATAGCTCTGGCCCCACACTAGCCACCTACTCAGCTCAGCAGCTGGTCCACAGCTTCTGCAGGCCTTAGGGCTCAGCGCCTGTCTCTATGGCCGACTGTCTCTATGCCAAAGCTTCCTGCCCTCACGGGTGTACTCCATCCTGCCCCTCACCTCGACCCAGTGGGCTCTTGTGACACTCAGCTCTAGAGCAATCCAGTTTGGTGCTTGAAACACCCAAGTCCAGACAGTCACTGAACACCTGCATTGTGCATCAGGGAACCCTGCATGGAGGGGTCCAGCCTCAGGCGTCTGCACAGTAGAAGGGGCTGGGGTTTGTGCTGGGACTGAACATGTCGTAGCAACTTTTCAGCCCTTGTGATGGTGCCCTGGACTAAGCTAGCCGAGGGCTCCTTCCCCATGTTCTCTTGCTGACTTCCTGCCTCGGTCGGTCTTGCAGAGGACTACGAGCAGCTGGTGGAGGATATCGTACGGGACGGCAGGCTCTACGCCTCTGAAAACCATCAGGAAATCTTAAAGGTGAGACTGTTCCTGTGTGTCCAGGGCAGCCCCAGGCTGTGGGCAGAACCTGCTCTAACGAGAGACAAGGGTCTTGTGGCTTCAGCCTGAGTCCAAGAATCTGGACTGCGGGTTCTGCCTCTGTCTCTGGGTGGTGCTGAACACATCATTTCACCTTTTCCCCTTTGAGTGACGTGTCTGCACAGTGGACATAGGTGCATCCTGGGATTTACAGGCAGGGAGACCAGGAGTACTGATCACTGATTGACTGCTGGCTGATGTCAAGGCCCTTCAGCTGGTCATATGTCCAGTCCCTGAGGCTGATTGGTCTGATCTCCCCACGTGCATCCCAAATCCTCTCTTCTTGCTTGTGTTTTTACTCTGGAACTGCTGGCTCCTACTGTGCTGAGGCAACCTTGGCTAGTGGTGAGAGCACGGGCATAAGACATCTGCACTCCACTCTCCACCTGCCGCTGGGGCACTTGGTGACTTTGGACAAGTCCCTAAAATGTGCCTCGGTTTCTCCATCTGTAAACTAAAGCGTTTGGGATCCACAGCTGCAATAGCAGCTCCCCCTGACAGTGGGATCCCCTTTGGGACCACATGCAGTGGGCATTAGTGGGGGGCACCAGTGCCCAGTTAGGACCATGCAGCTCCTTGGTTTGTCTCCCTTGCAGGACAAGAAGCTGATCAAGGCCTTCTTCGATGTGCTGGCTCACCCGCAGAACTACTTCAAGTACACGGAGAAGCACAAGGAGATGTTGCCCCGCTCATTCATCAAACTCCTCCGCTCCAAAGTCACCAGCTTCCTCAGGCCTTACAAATAGCCCCACGATGTGCCCCAGCCATGCCGGCCGCCCTGCAGCCAAGGAAACCCTCTTTTTACTTTTCTTTGAATTGTTTTTCCCCTAAACAGCTTTATAAACAAACAGAATCCCCGTCCTTCGCTATGCAGATGTCTGTAACAGTGACTCCTTCTTGGCTTGCTTTGAACCCATCTTTGGGGCAGCCCCACGCCCTGCTCCTTCAATGCCGGGGGAGACATCTCCCATCCCACGGGCGATGCTGCTTCTTGTTCCAAGCCACCTCTGCATTCAGAGGCAGCTGCAACCTGCTCCGTTTGATGAACCTCAAGTGCAGCTCTTCAGGCTGCTCTCCTGGTGGCCCTTTGGTTGCCCTTGGTGTTTTTTACACATCCGCACACAAGTCGCTCTCCATTCCTAGATGCCATCAACACATCCGCAGCTGCCTTCCTTCATGGGACCCACATGGTATTTTTACTCCCACGGTGAGGCTTTCACGGCTGCAGCCAGACCTGAGCTGCTTCTCCAAGAACCGAGGGCAAAGGATGTCCCTAACTGCAGAAGGTAACACCTTTATTTATCATAGCGTTGTGGCTCTAGAAAAACAAAGGAACACGTCTTCGCAGAGGGGATCGGGGAAACATCCATATGCTTAAAAAAATATTTAAAAACAATAAAGGAATAAAGGACAGGACTGGGACGCACAACAGCAAGTAGCGACTGGCTGGTGGTTGCAATGGCGGTTCTGAGGGGTGGGAGATGTGTCTCTAGGGAGCCATGCTGGCTCTCTGTGTCTGAGGAAAGCATGGCTAAGCCACGTCTTTGCAGAACAATGTCTGGATGAACGGGAGAAAAAAAATGTAACGAGAAAACTTTTGGACAGATTCTTTTCCCTCCTACCTCCCCACCCCAGCTTAACACTTGTGCCAAGAGACCAGACTTTCTTACAAGCTCGGCCAAAGAGGAACTCGTCGACAGAAGAGCAAGTGATGTGAAGAGCAGGACTAAATGTTTGTGCACTAGGATTTCCTCCTTTCTACCTTTTTCATATGTATTAAGTGCAATCATTTGAGTCTTCTTTATATTATTTAGAGGGAAGTTTTTTCTACTAGAAACTCCAATATTTATACCTGCCTGAGAAATGAGAATGTGTGTTTGTAGCAAAAGAGCAAAACCAAGCCAAGTCTCCGATTCATGGTAAACCATCACGGTGACGTTTTCAGACCTTGGAATCTTTTCTTCTGGTCCCCAGGAAGTTCTTGTTTAAATCAAAAAGGCAAAGCCTTTTGGGGGAAATTAATTGCTTTTGGGGGGGAAATCAATTGGATCTTCCCCAGGTAACTGGAAAACAGCATCTTGTTCCAGCTGCCCGTGTGGTCAGCGGTAGGTCTTCCCTAGTTAATGCATCAGTTTGCAGCATGGAGACAAGATCTCAGTATTCCTGCACCCTATATTTGGCGCTGGCGATCCCTCACCTGAAGTACTGTGCCCAGTTTTGGGTACTGCACTTCAAGGAGGATGTGGACAAAAAGAGTCCAGCAGAAAGCAACAGTAATGGTTAGAGGTCTGGGAAATGTGATTTATGAGGAAAAGCTGAAAGAACTGGGATTATTTAGTCTGAAGAGAAGCCTGAGATGGGGATTTGATAACCATCTTCAAACACCTGAAGGGTGGTTATAAAGAGGACAGTGATAGACTATTCTCTGTGGCCACAGGGAGTAGGGCAACAAGCAAAAGTCTTAAATGGCAGCAAGGAAAATTTTGGCTGGATGTTAGGAAGAACTTTCTCACTCTGAGGGTGGGTAAGGAGTGGAACAGACTGCCTAGAGAGGCTACAGACTCTCCATCCTTGGAAGTCTTTAAGAGCAGGTTAGACATAAAATTATCTAGGATATTTGAGATATGGGTGAGCAGAGGCCTGGACCAGGTGACCTTCTTCTTCTGTCCCAAATCTTCTATGATTCTGTTTTTCCCCAGAGCCCCACAAACATCCTCTACTTGGTTTAGAAGATCGTCATCATTAGGCGTAGTCATATCGAGGTTTATTTCTTCTGCAGATTTCCATGCATTGATTCCTGTCTCATTTACTGCAGTGCAAATCATCTAAAGTAACCACAGAAGCTGATAAAGTTATAGCAGCATCAAAAATCTGAAAGGAAGAATACGGTTCTAAGCATAGCTAGATCACAGGACTAGAAAAGCTCAGATCCCATCCAGAAGAGGACAGAACTGATGTAGACAATCTCAAGGCAAAATTCCTACTGAATCTAACAGGAGCATTTTGTGAATGAAGAATGGCAGAGTCAGAAAGAGAGGATATTCAGGACCCCCCTGAACAGCCATTCAAAGTTTGATCAACGTAGGTATAATGAACAGCGACAGGGCAAAGCCTTCTCAGACCTCCAGCAAATCCAGTCTTGGAAAGTCAGACTCTCCAAGCAGAAACAGCTGGAGGAAGATGCGCAGCACAGGTTCAGTTGACCGTCACTGAGTCCTGGGCTCCTGACTCTCTTAGGTGCTTTTAAAAATCTCCACTCAACAGCAAAGGCTTCTCAAACTGATCCAAAGTAGAGCTCATGCTGCGGCCTCCACCTGCCCTCATGTAGGTTCCTGAGGCCGATTTCCTACTGACATTCCAGTTCCCCGTCTCTGACTGCTTGTCTGATTTTCCCTAGCTAGTGTCCGGGGAATGCATAGATCCTCAGAGGCACCGCTGCAAGCAGAGTATCAATATACATTATTATCTATTGATGCCTGCACTCTCCTGGCTGCGCAGTCTCTTGAGAGAGCAGCCAACGTGCCATTTCCTTTGCCCGTTGAGTGTCCATCTACACAGCCTAGTTCAACAGCTGCCTTCCAGCACTCATTGTCCAGTGTTTCACCCTGTGGCTTAGATTGGCACTGCCTAAACGAGGCCCAGTTCTGTGCCCTTGTGGCACTGAAGAGGCTGGCGCTTGCTCCTGGGTACCCTGTCATGCCAGATCTGCTCAGAGGAGCGGCAGCTGCAGGCTGAGAGGCTTGGCACCTTAGTAGTGTCTGCAGCCGACTCTCCCTTCACAAAGGCATCCCTTGCGAGGCTCAGAGCTCCTTACTGCTCTCGGGTATCTGCAGAGCGTAGGTGCTGCTAGGGGCACACCTACTTCCAGGTGTGGCTTAAAACAAGTCACAAAAAGCTGCTTGCCAGTGCCAACTTTGCAAGGACCCTTATTCCTTGCAAAAGTAATGTTTGCAGCACTTTGAATCCAAACACAGCAGCCTGCAGGCCAGCCATTGTGAGACCAGCCAGTCCAGCTTCTCTGGCCAGGCTAAGTAATATTAACAAGGACAAGTTGTCCAAGCTTATGGGGCTGGATTTTTCCAAAGCCTCTAGTTGTTCTGGGTGCCTAACCTGAGGCTTCAGACAGCCCCAACCACCTGCCATCTGACAGTCAGGTGTCTGTCTCCTCCTGGACTTCCCAAATCAGGGGGAACTTGGGAAATCTGGGTGTAATTCAAGAGCCTTTTCTTGCAATCCCTGCTTTTAGGGTTAATCCCTTCAGGAGTTGTTCTTTTGAAGGCTACAGGCCACATGACTGGGTTCCAGCTTCTATCCTGGCACCTCCCTCTAAGCTGGCACCCAGGGGTGGCACCCTCTTCACTGCCCCCCATGTTAGGCTACTGCCTAGGTGTGATCCTGTACCACCCTGCTCAAGTCCCTGAAAATATATGAACACTAACAAACACCAGCCAAGTCTTAGACTAAGGAACGGGAAGGCACCAAACAGGACCCAGCAAGTGTTTGCATTTAAAGTTTTTCAGGGGCTTGAGTAGGATGGAAAAGGATCACTTAACATCCCCGTCTCCTGAGACACAGAACAGGTGGGGAATCTGGCCCTCAACCGTTAAGGCTACTGCTTGCTACCACAGATAAGGACCTGAAAGTCTTTCCCCTTTATCTGTTGAGATGAGCTAACTGCAGTCACCTGCTTTCCTTTAGCCTTTGGACGCCCATCCATGGTCATCCTGTATTATGCAGCTATCTGCTCTAGTGGGCAGATGAATTTTTGGTAGTCCAGTTCCTAGCAAGTGGCCTAAATTTAGCACTCCCTTCAGAATCAACAGATGTCAAATTGTGCTTTAAGTTTCTCTGCCCTAAGGCAAAAAAAGGAAAGGTTTGCAAGGCTGAAAACTGTCACCTCCTTTCTGATGCATTGAATGTTTCAACATAGTAAATATAACAAAGGTGTTTATTAAGGAAAAAAAGGACTATTTATATCTGCTTTTGGCAGTGGGCCACAATTTAGCATCTCCCGCAAAATGATTACGTGATGAAAAAGATGTAGTTCATAAAGTTATTTGCACTTGATTAAAAAAAAATGTATCTGAACTTTGTAAAAAGAAAATGTTTGCATTTTGTATTGTCTTTTTTTAATTATTAAATGGAATTTCTTGGTGTTGTGTTGATCTTTCAGAAATTGGTCATGATGCTTCTTTCCAAGCTTTCTAGCAGAGGCACGTGAGAGCTTTACCCATCTATTTTAATCCATGTCACTCCTCTAGCATCCCCTCCCATCAATTCACACCCACCAGGGACCCACACCCTGTACGAACTTTACTCAATCACAGCTGATCAGTTCCCAGTAAATAGGAAAAGTAAACCCATACAGTCTTGAGTTGTTACAGACATTTGATTTCCCCCGAAGTAATACACAGGTGTGGTGCAACTGGCTCTAACCATTAGTTATTGCAAAGGCTGCTGGGATTGGGGCTTTAAAAGTCACTCCAGGAGGGTGGGTTTTGAGTCCCAGCTTTTACAAAAGTGTGGAGACAGAGGGCAGAGAAGTTAGATTGAAAAGGGAGCAAGATGGACCTTTGAGAAGAAAGATCCTCACACAGTAAGAACTTAGGTATAGTCTGCTACCCCCCTCCGTTAAGAGAAACTTTTCTCATCTGCTCTTCACCCCGTGGAAAGATTCACATTCTTAGATGCTGTGCAGAACAGACGAAATTTGAGCACAAAATGACACTACAGGTGCACCCTTGCCCTAAAAATTGCTGCTATGTCTGCATCCCCACCCCATCTCTTTGGGGCAGTTAAGGAGCTACCCATCAAGCCAAACTAATGAAACAGAAAACCAATGCAGTCACCTAAACTGGACACTCTCCTTAAGTGACCCCATTTCTAAATCCCATGTAAGTGACTAGATTTTACCCATCATCAGCAGTTAGGAAACTCCTTAGGCATGACTTTTGCCTTCTCTAACCACTTTGGTATTTGAAGAAATCTTTCCTGCTCCCTGTCGCAGGTGCATCTTGCTTTCTTGCGCAGGCATTTTTGCCACCTTTCTCAGAAATGAAGTCTGTTCTCTTTTAAGTTTCTATTGCAAAAAGAATAAACTGCTCTTATCCTTGTTATTTTAAGAAAGTTCAGGGCTCTACTCCTATTCCTTCTAGCGTACGGTATGAAAGTTTCTCTTGTGGGTTTAGCAGAGAGGACAGTGGCCAACCAAAGCCAACTTTCCACCATCGTCTGCAGATGAGCCAGACACGTGCCACAGTTAGTTGCTCTATAACCGTTTATTGTTGCCCGCTTAGTAGAGGCGCTGCAGCTTCCCCAGGGTGCTCTTGGTATATAACACACGCATGTTCTGCCAGTTCTTCAGCAAGGACACCAGGAAGTTGATGGCCAGGTGAATGTTATAGCCCATCCTCGGTCATCTTCACATGCCAGACAGAGCACAGGGACAGCAAGGTCACTCATTCAATATTAGCAGTAGATTTTGCAAGGGATGCTGAATTAGGTATGTGAAAAAACTATGGCACCTCAGGGCACAAGCAGCTACCAGGAAAACCCCCAGGGTGATGCAGCTTTGCCAGATTTCAGGGGAGAACTCACCAGTGGGTTTAAAACATCCCCAGTTCTTTAACCTGCAAACCATACTGTAGCAATTCTGAACTATTGAAGCTTTACAGAGAATGGATCCAGTAATGCAAGATGTATTCAGTGAGGCATTTTAAAAACCTCCATCCCTTGCTTTATCAGACCTTTCAGTTCATGTCACTGTGTAGCTCATGCCAGCTGGCTTCAATACATTCAACAACTGGCTTGCAGTTGACCAATGCAGGCTGATCAGGAATAGTGCTCTTTAGGCAGACTCGCTCCGAATCAAGCCTGACTTAGCAAAGCCCCCAAACATATCCCTAATGCCTTGGAGAATGATTGACAGTAAAGCTTGGATGAGTGGGGCACCAGACTGATCAAGAACAAATCTCTGAATCAGGGTTGCTTTGACCTAATAAGTAATCCAACACCTCTTTCACCATGTCTGAAACCACAGGTGCAGTGTTGCATTCATCTGTGTGGTGCAAACCTCTTCTAACGTCTCACTGAAAGCTGGCCATATTCCTGCAAGGTCAGTACCTTTTACTATGCAAGATGCCCTCGGCTCCCACTGACATCAATAAGCCTCGATGGCACCCAGCCCGTTGCAATACCAGGTCTCTTCCCCAAATCATGTGTTTGATGTCTTTCAAAAAACTTTCATTCTCCCTTTGGGGTAACAGAAGAATGCTCTGGACTATTCCTTAAATACACAGCAAGT